TGGGCCTGCGTTAGATATGATTAGTGAAGACTGATTACATCTTCCTGTCTGGCAGACATGTTCAAATTTTTTAACCAAAATCTTAAATCTAGTTTTCCTTTGTCACATAACTTTCCTTAACATGTTTTAAGATGTACTTAGGTTTTTTTTTCATACAATTTATTTTAGTTTACCCTATTCTCTTTGAGACCCATAATCAGTAACATATTTTGAACCACTGCCAATCAAATTCCACATGTATTACAGCACCATCAGTTAAACAGGAAAGTATAGAATGAGGTTTTAGCTTTCAAATGTGCAGAAATATCAGGATATCGGGTGGGCTGAACAAGACTTAAGTCGATTATTTCTGTGTGGATTGCATCACACTGCATTCTTTGCAATGTGTTAAATGTTCTGTTGCAGAATGGGAACGATTCCAAGTAATTTATGTTTTGAATGTGTATCTAATACATGTGGTCAGCAACTGGAGGTCTTTAAAGGGTGTTCTTTTCCCAGCAGAGATCATGTGGTAATGTAACATCTTATAGCTAGCTGTCTGAACTGTGTTGCCTGTCAGGACTCCTCCCAGAATGGTATCAGAAATACTGTTTCTTAAATGCTTGCATGAAGGAGTCATGATTGACTCTCTTCAAGTAGAAGCCTGATTCAAACGGTCACGGTAATCTGAGCGTGGAAAAAAAACTTTTAGAACGTAGCAGGATGACGGCTTGGTTAAATTAACAACAACAACTTGCATTTATACAGTACCCTTCACATGGGGGAGCATCACGGAGTGCTTGTTAACAAGTTAACAAGGTATTTCAGATTGTGTTAGAAAGACGAATGAAAAAAATAGCAGTCAGTGGATGTGGCTGCATCATGTAACCATTTTGATATGAAAATTGTATCTCAAATTTACTCTATATTGCATACAAGTAAATTTTGTACTGAAGATTCCCTCAACTGCAATATCATAAGATGAGTGAACTAAGCCTTGGCGCTCCAGAAAGGACCTAGCACAGATTTTGTAGAATTCTGCAAGTCATTCCCTCACAGAGAGAACTCTTTTTAACCACTTTCTGCTTTCTCTTGTCAAGTCAGTTCTCAATCTAGTTATCTAATTTGCCATTAATTCCACGAAGCTTCATTTCCTTCAAAAGCCTAATGTGTGGTAATCTTCTGCAAACTCAATTATGTTACACATTAATTTTGTTGCCGCCTAAAAGAATTCCATTGAATTCATGAGGCATATTATCTTATATTTCAGTGAACATGCTGGAACAACAAAAATGTTGTACTACAAACTACAGCGTTTTATATTCTATCACTTTCTGTCTGTCCAAGATGTTACTCTACATGAAAAGCTCTATATAAATGTTAGTTGTTGTTTTGTGGTGAACAATAATTTATCATCTACATAAAAACATGACAAGGCTTTAATCAGATTTTCATAATGTCCTTCCTTCTTTACACAATGATCTATTTATAAAAACAGGGCTGTCAGGAGAATGTATTCATTTGCAAAGTAAAGCTGCCAAAAAGCATGTAAGATGTCAATTATAATAATGCATTTATATAGTACCTTTCTCATTAAAAAAAGTATCAAATTATTTATTACAAATAATATAGATTAGAAATGTTGTTGTTATACTGTGTAGGCAAACATGACAGCTAATTTGCAGTATCCCACATATAGCAATGAGATGAGCAGCAAATCAATGTGAATTGGGAGGTAAATGTGGATTAAGAGTGGAATACTATACAAACCAGGATAACCAATGAAACAGCAGTAACAGGGTAACTCCTTTACCTGAATCACAACGCAGAAGAAACAAAATATTAATAACACAATCAAAAAATGGGATAATGATCTGGAAATAAACAATAAAATGGTACATATTAAGAAAAATACAGTATTGCTTTCTTTTTTGAGGGTATCTTTACTGCTTCTCTTCCCGACGTCTTCTCACCACCCCACCCCACCCACCCCCATCCCCACACCCCCACAGCAATATTCAGAGAAGACTTGTTTTGTGAATTAATCTACACATAAGAAGCTACCAGATCAGCAATGGATTCAATTTAAGGGTTGGCTTAGCAACACAATTTCAAAGTTTGTTATGCTAACCATATGCGATGTGTACAAAAGGAATTACAAATGCCTTTGTTTATGCAACTCACAACAAATAAATGATTACAGATGATTTTGGAATTTTGCAATTCGATCATTGTTTTTTAGTTGCCTATCGTTATGCATTTGCAGATTGTTATTTCAACCAACAATGGTGCATATTCAACCTATATACTAAGCCCTTTTATTGTGGTATGATTTGTGCTGATTTATTTTTATTTTGGAACTTGTTGGGAGATTTTTCAATTAAATGGGAAGGAAATCTGTCTATGTTTGTCCTCTGATCAATTGATGTCAGATTGCTTTCTGGAATTAGGTAAGCAGGAATCATCCATCCAGGGAGATAACTGCACAATTCCATAGGTACATTTCCATGCATAGGTGGCATGCACATTTGGAATCTCAATCTGGTTTGATAGTCTAAAGCAAAATGTGTATCAGCTACCTTGCTGACCAAAATAAATAATAATAGGAACATTGTCGTCCTTTTTTTAACAAGTTATTCCCTTCTGTGGACGATGAAAATTATTAAAGATTTGTCATTTTCAGGCAGCGTTGTGGTGAGGGGTGGGGGTGTGGGGGAAATGATCCACAACTGATGATTCATTGGCAATTGTGCAACAGGTCAAAGAAGGATATTCGGATCTCTTGGCTGTTTAAGATTTATCTTGGCACCGAATAATTTGATTTGATCACTGGAATTCATTGATAGGAATTTATGGAACCTGAAAAGACCATTGGAGTCCATCTGGTTTTTAAAATGAAATAAACCTGCACTATTCTATCTCTCATTTGGCACAATTGATCTATTTGCCAAATACCTTCCTAATTTTCTCATGAATATACTGACACAACCAATCTCCCCAAGTAGTCCTGCCACATATTCACTGCTCTTTCTGTAAAGACCTTTCATCTGAACTGTATGTTCATCTTCCACTCTATCTGGACAATACACTAAGAGTGGATGAAATAATTGTGGTTATTTGATCCAGAAAGAATATCAAGTTCGCTCCAGTGAAATAATTGAATAATATATATAATAATAATCCTTACATTTCACACAGGGAGGACGTCCCAAAGCGCTTCACAGGACATACTGTAAAGTGCAACAAATGTGTGTTTTGTGAGAGAAGGTGGCAGCTAGTTTTGGACAGCAGTGTTCCTACCAACAGCCATGAAGTGAATGACCAATTTTTATTTGGGGGATCGTTGGCAAGGACAACAGGAGAAACTTGCTACTATTTTATTAAAAGACATTGCTAAAATATCATATCACTCACTGATGGGTCATAGATCCAGAATTGGCAATATTTTGGACTTCTTTCATCCTCCTGAAATTTCAGAAGACAGAAAATGGCCTCAGGATTTTCTCACTGTATTCTTATTGAATTGCGAAACACTGATATCAAAGGTTGCCAGAAATCAATGACATCAATATGTGTTTGTTGCAAAATTGCACTTTGCTGCTCTGAAAAGATTGAAAAACTAATGGGCCCAAATTCTTAGGGGCCATACAGTCTGAATCTGGAAGCCTTGAAGGAATTCATCATGTAATACCACATATTTTCCCCTATATTATTTCAGAGCTGTTATAACTTTGTTTTAATGCTTTTAGGGGATAAAGCAAGGGCCTCATAGAGGTCCCCACTGAAAAGGCAGGAACTATTACGAGCTAAATGAAACAATTCCCTTTGCCAAACTTTTGAATTTCAAGTGTTTGACAGTTTTGTTAAATTGCAACTGAATTTGGTGCATGCAAAGAGCTAAAAATGCTACAGGCCCAGATATCAGCTTTCATAACACCATGCATTTACTTTTGAAAATGACATGAAAGTACATGCAGGCCAAATTGCGGGTGCTTTGACTGAAAAATTGTCAGTCAATTGGTGCTTTGTTTATTTAGTTCTCTCTGTCTTATGCACATCAAGAACAGAAATGTACCACTGTATGACTTGAAACCAGTGTCCAAAGGTTCTGACCTTTGTGTTGAAAGTGCTTTCTCAAAGCTTTCCTCAATCAAACAAATCACAAGGAATGAGATATGGATAAAGAAAGCCCTTTGTCTATTTGATCTCAAACCTACCACCTTTCCATCATAGCATCTTAAATTAACCCAGTGTCTTGACCTCAACTGCCTTTCATGAAAATCCTTTCCAGCCATTGTTACCTATGTATAAAGGAATGCTTCATGATATTTATTCTGATCTTGCTCTTCATAATTTGTTATCCATCACTGTGTGATATTGGAGCCAGAAACTGACTCCGAACTATTGATGTGGAATGGAGGGAGCTCTATCTGAGTGGTTGCCCTGGTAATAGAATCATTCCTATGGAAAGTACTCATTCCTAGCTTCCCACTCAGTCTTCAGATTTTTTTAAACTGTGCCTTTCATGGGTTTGTAGTGGAGAAACCATTTATAAATTAAGCGGCAGGGACTTGGAATGGAATCCCTTATGTAATTCATTAGAGTTTGTACATTTCTCTCCCATCCAGCTATATTTGACATAGCATTTTTCATATTGTGTAGATGTCTCAAAGGGCTTCACAGGATGTACTGTAAATTATAATAACTGCATTTTGTAAGCAGATGCAGCAGTCAATTTGCACACAGCAATGTCCCACAATCAGTCATGAAGTGAATCATTTTTTTATTTGTGGGTTTCTTCACAAGGACAATGAAACTCCCTTCTATTGTTTGAATAATGCCAGGGGATCTTTAATGTCTATCTGAACAGACAGATGGGACCTCAGATTAATGCCTCATCTGAAGGATTGTACCTCCAACGTTGCAGCACATACTCAGCACTACACTGGAGTGTCCGCCTATATATATGATAAATATGTTTCACAATGTAACTTATTGAAATATTTTCTTTTGATTTGTAGGTACCAGATACATACAGGACTTCAGCACTCCATTATAAGGGCTGGACAGCCTAATTGTATACCCTTGGATAATGTAACTCTTCCTCAAAAGCTTCAAGAGGCTGGCTACTCAACACACATGGTTGGAAAATGGCACCTAGGGTTTTATAAAAAGGAATGCCTGCCAACGCGAAAAGGATTTGATACATTTTTTGGGTCACTTACGGGGAGTGGGGACTATTATACCCATGACGTCTGTGATGGTCCCAATGCCTGTGGATATGATCTGCACAAGGGCGAAAACGTGGCTTGGGAGTACAGGGCTCACTCCTACTCCACCTTCCTGTATACCCAAAAAGTAGAGGAAATCCTAGCATCTCACAAGCCTAAGGAGCCAATATTTTTATACATTGCTTTCCAAGCAGTGCACACACCTCTTCAAGTGCCTAAAAACTACCTGGGTCAATACAAGTCAATCCAGAATGTGGGCCGGAGAAGATATGCTGCTATGGTAACATGCTTGGACGAAGCAGTGAACAACGTTACACTGGCATTGAAGAAATATGGTTACTATGAGAACAGTATAATAATCTACTCTTCGGACAATGGAGGGCAACCATTAGCCGGGGGCAGTAACTGGCCACTTCGCGGGCGCAAAGGAACATATTGGGAAGGAGGAATTCGTGGAATTGGCTTTGTCCACAGTCCTCTACTCAAAAACAAGGGGGCCGTGAGTCGCGGATTGATGCACATCACTGACTGGTATCCCACTTTGGTGACACTAGCAGAGGGAGAACTTGAGGAGAATTTGGGTCTTGATGGGTATGACATATGGGAGGCAATCAGTGAAGGGAAACCTTCCCCGCGGACTGATATTCTGCACAACATTGACCCGCTTTACACACGTGTCAAAAGCAACTCACCTCATGACGGATTCGGAATCTGGGACACCACAATTCAAGCAGCAATCCGAGTTGGAGACTGGAAATTATTGACCGGTAACCCGGGTTTCAGTGACTGGATCCCACCTCAAACCTTCCCAAATTTTGCTGGGAACTGGTGGAATCTTGAAAGGGTATTTTGGGGTAAAAGCAAAACAGTCTGGCTATTTAATATCACAGCAGATCCTTATGAGCGGGTTGACCTTTCTCAGCAGTACCCTGAGGTTGTTAAGAGGTTGTGCTTGAGGCTGGCTTACTACAACGTGACTGCAATTCCCGTCAAGTACCCTCCAAAAGATCCGAAGAGCAATCCTAAACTCAACGGAGGTGCTTGGGTACCATGGGATAGTGACGAAGAGGAAGAGACTAACTTAATTAATAGCTTCCCTGAGAAAAGACCCTGGAATACTTGCAACATGCAACTGCGTTTCAAAAAACCTGCTTGGGTATAGATAGTGTTTATTCCAAAAAAGAATCTTTATCTTCTTAAATTTATAAAAAAGATATAACATAGCTAGTGCTACCACAGCACTTAACACTTTAAAATGGTTGAATTGTGCAAATTATGACGTGAGATTCAGATATCTATGTCCAGGCTGAGATGGTAATTTTGTCTCTCAAATTCTCTCATACAGACAGCACCAGTGGGCTGAATTTCCAGTGTTGCATCTTAGGCATTGTTGGTTGTTAACAGGTTTTCCGTATTAAAATCGTGGATTACCAAAGGCACTGAACATAATCCAGAGAGGAATTTCAGTTTTTGACCTATGCCAAGAAAGCAAAACTGGTCAGAAGGGAAGTGCTCTCATCTTCCTAGGTTACCATGTTCAGTGCTGGCATTCCCTCTAGGTTGTGGTTTCAAATTCTATGAGATCACAGTGTAGTCATTGATGTCTTTCAGGTGAGACTTCAAATCAAGATCACATCTGGCTATTCAGATGGGTGTTAAAGAGCAGAAACACATGTTTCTCTTGGTGTCCTGGCAAACAATCCTCCAGATTAATTACTAATTTGCCTCACGACTATGTGGGACATTTCTGTCACAAACAGCTGATATACTACCTACAAAAATAGATAGAAATATAGAAATCTGCAGCGCAGAAGGCCATTCAGCAATTTCAACATAATTAGAATTTAACAATTGATATAACTCCTTATTGTGTGAAAACATCTCAAAGTCCTTCATAGAATTTTTCTGTAAAGTGTAGTGACCTTGTATTTCAAATCCTATCAGCACTCGAACCAGCCGTTCCGTTCGCTCAACAAATACTGGCTTACTTCTTATCCTCTAACTTATCCACCCCCACAGGAGTGGATGGGCTTTCAGTCTTTCTATTCCCATTCTCTGAAACTCCATCCCAAAGTCCATCTTGTTCACTCCCTCCCTCACCTTGTTCAAGGTCCATCTCATGACCTACCTCTTTGACTACTTTTGGTCATTTTACCCCTCCCCACCCACATCAGCTCCCACCTCAACTCGGGTGGCAATCCAGGACTGTCAATTGCTTTGGGACATCCTCCTGATGTGAAAGGCACACTATAACTGTAAATGTGTATTGTATTTGAAGGCAAATGTGTAATGTGTAGATTGTACACAGCAATGTCCAGCAAACAACAACAACTTGCATTTACATAGCACTCTTCATTCAGGGTGGCATCTCGGAGTGCTTAAACAGCCACAAAATGACCAATTTTTCTTTTATCTTGGGGTTTGTTGGTCAGGACACCAGGAGAAATTCTCTCCTTTTTTGAATAGTGTCACAATGACTTTTATATCTATTATTGCAACATAAGCCAGGCCCTCGATTTAACATCTCGGTTTAACATCTCATCTGAAGGACAGGTAAAAACATGCTATAAGAAAGCAAGTTCTTTCCTTCACTAGACTGACTGAACAAATGATCAAATGATCAAAAGCCCTGATAACAGGTCAGACAGAAATGTGGACACGAAAATGAAAAACATTGCTGCGTTTTACCTACAAAAAATACACAGTCAATTCACTTTACTGTATATCCTATGAGGCGCTTTGAGACGTCTCAACAACATGATAAGGCGCTATATCAAATGCAAGAATTATTATATTATTAGTATTATTATTAAAGAAAGTGTAGACTATTATCAAATGAAAATGTTATCAACAAAAGATGTCTTCTCAGGTGTATTTTATTTTTTAAAAAATGTATTTGTTCCAATTTGGATCATGTTTAACACCAGCCATTCCTCATGACAAATGCTCCGATAAGGATTACAGGAGCTTTTCTTTGCCAAAGTAAAAATAGCATTTTATTTAGCAAATTCAGAAAATAAAGAAAGTGTCTCTTGTTCTGTATAATACACCTTCAACGTCTTTTCTTCACTAATGGCAATTGAAGTCACAATGCTTTCTCACATTCAACTTTTAGAGAAAATGTGGCACTGAAGGTCAGTTGTGAAACCTAGTACAGTTTCAAATCAAATAGGTCTCAAATAGGTAGGTCTAACTTGCCAGTAGATCTATCACAATTATAGATTTGCAAACATGATTTTTGTGTTTTGGGGGAAAAGCATTTTGCTTTTTAGGTCTCTTGATTCATTCTTTGTGTTTGTTTTTTTTAAAAATATAAAATATTTTAACTTGAACCTTTTTAAGCCAAGTTTTTAAACCTCTTCCTTCAAGAGTCCTTTGGCACAAAATGTCAAAAAGGCTTTACCTTTTATTGCTAATTGACTCCCCAGCTCAGGTACAAACCCTTGACTGTCCAGTGCCTTGGGACGTCCTCCCAACACTGAAGGCGCTGTATAAGTGCAATTTGTTGTTGTTGTTTGTTGTTGTTGACACTGATTTTCAAGCTATCCGACAATACAACAACAACAGCAACAAAATTACATTTATAGAGCGCCTTTCACGTCGGGAGTACGTCCAAAAGCGCTGAACAGTCGGGTCGGGATCTGAGCATGAGGGAGGGGTGGTGTAGGGGTGAGGGAAGGCAGAGAGGTGGGAAGGCGACCAAAGGCACGATCGAAGAGAAGGTTCTTGAGACCGGCCTTGAAGGAGGCAAGGGAGGAAGTGAGGTGAAGGGACCGTGGGATGGAGTTCCAGAGTGTGGGGGCAGAGAGGCTGAAAGCTCAGCCACCGATGGTAGGGTGGGTCAGGTGGGAGACATGGAGCAGACCGGAGCCCGCTGAACGGAGGGAGCGGGCAGGCTGGTAAGGAGACTTTGAATTATATCAAAGCTGGAAGAATGTGGCACAATGACAGTTTTTAATTTCAAAAAAAGAAGTATTGTTTGGAATGGTCAAATCAGATCGCAGACTTTTATTAAGAATTGTTTCAAAGCATTTTCATACCAGTTGGGTTCTAAGTCAGTACAATTCAGTTCACTTGCTCCTTTTTGCTTTCCATTTAGGAGTGTTGCTATAGTGTATCCACATAGAGTGGGATAAAGTTAAAAGGATTCTGGGACTTAAAATTTACAATTATAACTGCCTCCCTTCAGGAAAAACCAAGATGACAGCAATCCAGGTCTGAAGAGGGAAATTCCACTTCCTGGGGGGAACAGTGCTCCCAGTGGCTACTTGCAACTACATAAGTTAACACAATGCCAGACATAAAACATCACAAATTTTACTCAATTATCATATCGTAATAACTTCTAAAACGTCTCTACTTCTCACCAACCTCACAATCCCATGTCATATGAATTTATACTTATGAAATCATTGTTTTGCAGTAAGCAATGTCACAATGATGATGTAGTTCTGATTTCTAATTTCTCACTAAGAACATTCGGTGATGAAGTAGTTGAAGTACGACTGATTCTTAAAGCACTGAGACCATGAAGTAAAAAATGGGGTGTATAATGTAATAATGATCACCAGGGATAATTCTCATATCACATTCCCACCTCTGTCGTACACTAGTGATCATTATTACATCACACACTTCACTATTACACCAGAGCTCAAAATCACAGAATTTAACAGCACAGAAAGGCCATTCACCCATCGTAGCTGTGCCGAATATTTGAAAGACCCTTGTTTATTGTCTCCTTATAACATAAAAAGCTACAAAGGTCATCAGTTTGTTTAGACTGAGACAGAATTCAATTTGTGATTTCTATTCATTGTGATTATGTGTATACCTCAGAAGCCCTTTATCTTGCTACATCAGTAATATTTCATTACATTTTATTCATTAGTTTTAAAAGCTTGACAATTTGGCTTCTTTGACCTATTTGTCCTTTTTAACCGTCTTTACCCAATAGTCATTTCCGATTGCCTTCCCGCAGCTTTCAGACAATTTTGGGGTTAACTTAGCAACACATTTGATATCTGTCACATCAGATGTTTCCTGAAAGTACCAGAGATAGACCCACGGTACATTCTCAATGGCAATGGCCAATAAAGCCAGGTCTCCCAGCTCACATGTCCACTGACGGTTAACCTGACACTGGCTTTTTACTGAACAAAAAATCAGAGCAGTTGGCAGATCCGGGGAGCATTTAATGTGATAAATATAGAGTATCGCAAATTTCATTCCAGTATCACGCTGACTGATGTTTTCAGAGTCCTGGTGAATCATTCATCTGTCAGCATCTCACAGATTAATTTCAGAAACAAATTGCAAACCAATTGTAAGAAATTCCACCTGGGTTTAGATTTACTCTATTTCCGTAACATTTCCGTTTTATAGCTGTTTGTGGAACATTGCTGTGCATAAATTGGCTGCTGCATTCACCCACAAAACACGCGGTCACTGCAATTTATATTTTATTCTGTGAAGAACTTTGGCGCATCTATCCAATGCAAAAGGCACAAATTGTTGAATTCAGCTTTAAGCTATTTTCCATAGTTTTTAAAATAAAACTTACAGCAAACCGACATCAAAATTAAAGTTGTACTTATGAAGTTGCCACATTCTGGACACTCTGAAATGCTCCCAAATAGTGTAAATCTACACATCGATTTCCCCTCATAATTCTTTCAGATTAAATTTTTCTGTCAGTGCAAAAAATAGCACCCCTGGTAAAATTAAAATACTCAGACAACCTTAATAATGATTTAATTGAGTATCTTTTATTGACTCTTGTGTTGACTCAATGGGGTCCCACTGGACCTCAACACCTGATCAAGAGCACCTTTGTCAAACGTCAACAATTTGTTGATGCTTTGTCAGAAAACTGAATTTACATTGTCACCCCTCCCTTGCCACCTTCAAGACCCATCTCAAGACCCTCCTCTTTGACTGTGTCTTTGATCTCCCTGCTTTCCCCCCTGCCCTCCAGCCTCCCTGACCCCGACCCCCAGCTCGGGTCCGAAACTCTGTCTGTCTAGAACCTTGGGACACCCTCCCGACGTCATTTTGTTATGTAATTTGTTGTTGTATTTGGTAATTTTGCTTTTTTTTAAGGAACAGTGGAAATGGGATTCAGTGTTAGTTTTGAACCTGCCAGACACTATCTCTCTGCTGCTCTTCTGTTGTACACATTCCATGTCAAGAAATTGATTGACGCATGCCAGGACAGTGGGAATATTCCCTGCGCTTCTCAGATTGGAAAGTGATGGAAATTTACTCAAACATTCTTCTCCCTCACAGTCCTCACACTCTGCTGACTGATATACACATGTAAGAGCACAAAAGAAGGTTGAATTAAAACAGGAGAAGTATGTTGTAACCACAGAATGATCGGCACAGAAACAGGCCGCTTGGTCCAGCTAGTCAACTCCAATGTTCATACTCTACATTAAGAGGCTCCAACCGGTCGATCGCCGCTAGCTAACGTCTTGTTCAATAAAAACAAGAGGCAGGAGCTATATTTGCCGCAGTTTTAACATTAAAGTTTATATTTTTATTTCCAGATGCATGAAATACTTTGTGCATTTGGCTTCATTTTCAATTTGACTCAATAGTGATGCAGCTGTACTACTCCTACCCCTTGTTTATCACGCACGACAGCACCACCTAGTGGTGATCTATTGGTTGGAGACCCCTGTTCTCCATGAACCCCGACCCCTTCTATTCCCCTCACTGTATCCCTCTATTCACTTCTCCCTCATTCGTGCATCAAATTTCCTCTTTAATATGTTGATGCTTCAACCACAGCTGCCACATTCCACATTCTCGTCATCCTTTGCATCACCAGCAATTCTTACAACCAAAGTGTTGTGAGGATGCAGAGTAAACTGGACCAAGTGACTTGGAGAAAAAAAGTGGGGAAAATATAAAGAACTTCAATAATGTAATAAAACATCAGAACAGGCTCAACAAATCTGATCCTATATTCTTATATTCCTACGCAACTCTGTTCAGATTCATTCTCTTCTTTTCATACCCATTACTATTTCTTCAGCTATTAGTGCAAATGACAGCAGAAAGGCAAGTAATCAATGTAAAAAA